GGAATTACGGTATTGGCAGGGCTATCATTGGATTTAGGGCAGCCCTGGATAATCCAAGATGATTTCGTCTTGATTCTTGATTACATCTGCAAAAGAGGACCTTTAAACAAATAAAGTAACATCTGCAAGCTCCAGGGACTTGATATGGATATCTTATTAGGGGTGGGGAGTGTCATTTTTTGGCCTTCCACAGTTCCCCTTAAAGAATACTTCTTTATTTGGACACCTTGAAGTTAATCAAATGGAAAGTTTTTGGGAGAAAAATGGGCATCAGAGAGTCTAATTTTTCCATTTGCAAGCCACAAATTTCTAGTTAATTTTGAATAGCCAGAGTAGTTGGCTCTTTTAAGAACAAACCCCCTCCCCCTCCTACCATTTTGCTCTTATTGCTTTATTCTTTTTGCCTAGAAATGCTTTTCTAAATTCAGTTGAGTTCAGTTAATTTGTACCAAGAAACTCTTAGGTATTGTGTACTGTTCTAAGCTCTCTGATAAGCATGATCTTGTTTGGTGTTGCCAGCAACAAAGGCTCTTCTTAGAGATTAATTACTCATCTTCCCATTGAACCTAATCTCTTTATTTCAAGTCCAGTGCCTTCTCCACTCTTCCGTAGAGATAAGCTTGGGAAGGCAGGCTTGGGGAAGGAAGGAAGAAGGCCCATGTTAAGGTGCTAATGGCGTTTGCCTAAATGCCTAAGTGAAGTTTTAACAGCAGTTATCTGCCCCCAGTTCAGAGCAAGAATGGGCTGGGGCTAGCCTGGGAGAGGCTAGGAACACTTAAAGGAGAGATAACCTACCCACTCCACTAGTATTCTTGGGTTTGGCCTATGTCAGGATATAGGTGAGCCTGGTTGCTTAGCTGCAACAACTGGCTGGGACCAGCTGAGGATAAGGGGGTGGGAACTGGCTCACTACAGAGAGATTCCCCAGCTGGAGCGGCTCTCAGGGGGAGGTGGTGTGGAGGCTAAGCTGCTGTGAACAACTGGGTGGCCAGTTAGTGGTGATATGTGCCAGATTGAGAGGGATGTTATTTACGGGAGCCAGTTCCAGCTGGTAGTCATACAAGATGGAAGCCACCCTGCCTAGATGGTAGGAGGCAGGGGTGGGAAAAGCGTGGGTCTAGGACAGCGCTGAGCTTGGGTGACAAAAAGATGCTAGTGTATGGAGCCATGAACCCAGTCAGGACTGAAGAGCAACCAAGTGTCAAAATGTGTGGAGTTCTTGGCTGTGCATCTGGTTCCACTCTTGTCCCTAAAGAGGCAGCTGTCCCAGGCAGGTACAGTATCTGACACTTTTGACCTTGTCGTTTGGATCATCTTTGGCAGAAATGCTCTAGCGGGTTGTCTCCCCTCCACTAATTATATTAGTAGAGGAGTATAAGGATCTAGGGTTTGAAGCAGGTATTACCTTTACCCCTTATATGACCTTAATATTTGTGATCCACAAAATGTAAATATTTTTACATTCCATTTCTCTTTTTCACAGAGACTGTGAGGATCAATAAACCAGTATACAAATGGCTTTCCTGGAAAGAATTGCTGTGTAATATAAACATGCCTTGGAAAGGAGTTGAAAAGGCACAGAATATTTGCTGTTGAAAGCATGAAAAACTAGTGATTAGCTATGGTAAAAGAGAAGGCGGGAAACAGTTTTTTTTCCCCCCTCTGTGAGAATAACTGGCTGCCCTATAATCTTTACTATGTATTTGTTCATTGTGCTAAAATTGTTGCCCAGGGAGTCTGATATGAATATTTTTGCTGCATTTCCACCTAAAACCATCTCCTTATTCCCCTCCCCCCCACCCCTGAATTAACTTAGTAGCCAATGGAGAGATTCAAAACCTAAATGCTTAGAATGTATTTTGGAAAACCTTCTCACCATGCCAGTAAAGACATGGCCTCATTTGTTTGTCTAGGCACAACTGGTATCCTTTTCTTTCTTTGAGTCTGAATTTTATATTCTGATAGATAGAACTGTAGTCATAATTAACGAGAGAGAAAAAGTAAGGCCAGGCACAACTCCTGTCTTGATGAATTCTCTAAGACTTAGATGTTCAGAGAAATAAAGTTTCTTAACTGGTTTATTCAGAACTATACCAATAAGAAAACATAAAAATTGAGTATAATGAAATTTCTGCTTGATTTGTGAACGGATTCAAAGATATCCTGGGGCGAGGGGTGGGGCTAATGCTCCTTTGTTTCCATGCCTAAGTGAAAAGAGGCAATTCTGACAATGGCATGTCTATGGGTGGCTCTTTTCTGGAATTGGCAGGCTGCATCTCTGCATGGTGGGGGAGAAGGGGAGTGAGTGGTGGCCAAAATCACTGAATCACTCCTTACCTCATTCTCTGATGATATCATGAAGCATTTTGCCAATCTTTGGAAGTCCTATTTTATTGGAAATCATGCTCCTGGAAAACTCCAAGCAGAGCTGTAATGTCATGAGACTTTATTTGGCTAACCCATAGAGGATGATGGAGCTGTATACTTTCTTTAGAGCCATACCTTTTGGACTGCCCATCACTCACTGACCCCAAGAATTCTACATTATTAAATAGAATACTTACAAGGCTGAAACATACGCATTTGTATTACTTAACTAATGTCTGGTCTAACCTCAGAACAGTGAATGTATCTTGTGACTTACGCTTGCTTGACTAAGTCTGCAAAGCAAGGTAATACTTTTCAGAGCTAAAAAGTCTCTACTCATAAGAAAATGTTTCCTTGTAGTTTTAGAGTTGTAGGAAAAAACTTTGCTGAGTTTTTAAAGTAGCTGTTTCGTCTATAATTTCTGCTATATCAAGTTCAAAAGTACTGAGTTTTAGACTCAAAGCACAATAAAAAATATAAGATTTAAAACTAGACATTTATGTGTCTTTTAAAAAAATGTTATCAAACAATATGTTAAAAATATCAGGCAACCTGGTTCAGTACTGGTTGCTTGGCTAGCTTACCCTTGACATATTAAACACATTAGAAAATTTTAATGCTGTAAAACATATCCATAAATGATCATATTTTGCTATATGGCTATTAATAAGGGAAGAATTATAGAAGAAAAATAATTGGTAGAGTCTTGTAAAAACATTCCTTTCTCCTCATCAAGAACCCTTCTGGCTGTGGTCTTTTTTTTTTTATTTTTATAAAAATTGGTGAGTATTCACACTTTATAATGATTTTCTCAGAGATAGAAATGAATGTCACCCTACTTCACAGTTCCCTTTTATTGATCTATTTTTTTATAGCATGTGAACTTTCTAAAATATATAATTTACTTCTTTATGTTTCTTTGCTTGTTTGTTTGTTGGCATATTAGTTTGCTAGGGCTGCCATAACAAAATACCACAGACTGGGTGTCTCAAAAGAAATTTATTTTCTCACAGTTCCGGAGGCCAGAAATCTGAGATCAGATGTTGATAGGGTTCATTCCATTCTGAGGCCTCTCTCCATATTTGTAGATGGTGGTCTTCTCCGTTGTCTACACATAGTCCTCTCTCTGTGTGTGCTTGTCTGCGTCTAAATATCCTCTTCTTATAAGGAGATCAGTCACATTGGTTAGGACTCACCCTGAAGACCTCATTTTAACTTAATTGCCTTTTTAAATACCTTATCTCTGAATATGGTTACATTCTGAGGTACTGGAGATTAGAACTTCAACATACGAATTTTGAGGGACCCAATTCAGCCCACAACAATTGGTTTATTTCCAGTCACTATGATATAGGTTCTGTGAAGTTAGGGATTTGGGGGTTTTTGTTCACTTATGTATCCTAAGCACCTATTGTCAGTGCCTGGAACCTAATAGGAGCCAAATTAATATTTAGTGAAAGACTAAATGAGTGAATCTGCAATGAATGAAACAAGTTAGTGGAGAGACAAATACCTAACCCTCAGAGTTCTCCACATATAACAGATGCCACATTTGCCATTAAAGATCATTTGTACTTTGGTAAAATTTGAATAGTCTTAGTTATGCTTATTCTGGCATATGGGCATATCAGTAGCATTTGTGGATAAAGTCTGTAATTAGAAATAAGTACCAAATAAAGTGCATTAATAATTTCAAAGTGAAATAATAAAATGTACATCAACTGTGGAGGAGAAACAGGGAAGAGTAGGGGTGCTTTCAAGCCAATAAAACTTTAAGGACAAAGATTTGTAATTAAAACTGAAGTGAGTTTAATCTTTCTTGCTAATCACTCCTGCACTGTTAGCCTGTTTTCATCAAACTAATTGATGGCAGATGGAACAGATGCACGGTGAGATTACGGCTCCACTTTATGGCAGGGTTATAACAAATGTGACTTTCCCTCTACTGTATGCATTAACATTCATAAAATGCACTCCTTTGCTTTTTTCACACACCAAAATTGTTTCTTCCTTTGTGTGAGACTGATTGAAAGGAATCAAAGGATGTTTCATATAAATGGAATCCATTTGATCCTTTAAATAAGCGTTTATTGAGTGCTGACCATTTGCGAGGTGTTGTGGAAGACAATTTGCTAACTTCAAGGAGTCTGCAAGAAATTTTATCATCAAAAGGTTAAACACAATCATTACTTTTTTGGGCAGATTTCAGAATTACAGTTTTTGAAGTGCATGAGGTTTAAAATCATGTCTCACAAAATTTGCCATTTTTTTTTTCCTGTTTCAATGAAGGAAACTCAAGAACAAAGCAAGTAATATCTTTAAAAATTCCTTTCCAGAAATAACATAGCTTTTCATCAGTTTTCTTATAGCAATTATTAAACTGGCTTTAATAAATTAAATTGGCACAAACCTAAATAATTCTAATTATAGATTTGGGAATCATTGAAAGAAAGCAGAGTACAAGTTATTATTGTTAGTGATTTTAATATTGCTTAGTAAGTTACACAGAAGAATCACATGTGAACTTCCTTAAAGTTTGGTAAACTTAGGTAATGAGAATTTTCATCCTGAAATGAGCAGTAGGAAGCAAAGACCTAGGTAAAGTGTGATGCCTTTTAACATTAATCACTTGTTCTTTCTTTGCTTGATTTTCATTTCTGTACCTTTCTGTGACCCCCCCAAAGTCATTTCAGTTCCTCTATTCCATATCAATTTAAAAAAAAAAAAAAGGAAGATATCCGGTCTTAACTTAAATGTCATCTGTGTGTAGGGAATTTTTTGGACACTTCGAGTAAATTTGCTACCTCTCCTGTTATTCTTCATAATGGCACCTTATGTTGTTTTCAGTTGCTAATTCTTGGATAATCTGGTGTACACTAATATATAACTAATATAGTACTTTGCAGAAAATCCCTTTCTGTTTAAATACCCACGGTAGGTTTCTATTACTTACAACCAAGAATACAGAAATTGTTACTAGGATGAAAACAGGTAGAATCTTATACAGTAGGGGCTGAAGGCAGTAAACATCTTAAGACTCTGGAAAAGGAGTATGGAAATTCATTGTATGCAGTAGTGAAACAGTTACTTAAATTTTTAGCTGTGGTCAATTATAATAAAATACCTTTTGAAGTCACAACTTTGGGGAATCTAATGTCTGTTGCCTTAAATGAATATGAGAGGTATGAAGAAGTCCAGAATTATGAGGTGAGGTGACTTCTTTCAACAGTACTGAACAGATCAGAGAAGGAGAATGACAGGTTTAAGTGCCTAGATTCTTAGCTCAAGGAATGGATGTTATATGACCTTGCCAAGATCTGCTAATTTTTTGCAGCCATAGGGCTGAGTTAGTCAAGAACCAAATAGTTACTAAATTAACATATCAGTTGGATTTCTGGTCCACCATATCTCTTACATGAAAGTCTGGAAACTGAGTATTAGGATGGCAATATCTAGGAGGTTTTGAAGCACTTGGAAAGCTTAAAGTGCCAATTGTTGTATACATTTCATGCCAACTAGTGCAAACCTCTTCTCCCCTTTCTGAAAAAGTTGTTCTCTTTTGGCTTGAAGATGCCATAAGTCCTTAACCTATGGGAGATTCCTTACTAAGACAACTTCCCTCATTTCTACTCTGAGAATGGTTTTAATTGTTTGCTTGGTCAGCTGATTGAAGCCTATACTAAATGGTGGCCCATATTTGATGAAAGAAAGGTGCCATAAATTCCTTGGGAATAATGGAGAAGTTCAAAGACATCAGGGGACTGAAATGATGGAGTGAATTTATTTAATATAACCTAGTGGTACTCAAGATATACTTTATTTGCCAAGACCTTGAAAAATAAATTTGTGAGAGTAATGTCAATACCTTGGAAAGGGGCTTTAGAGGTTCTCTGTAGGTTGGGCACACTGTGAGATGCTGGAGGTGAAACTATTTCCTTGATTGCCGTAGGAATGGTTGGATCCTGGGGAAGTAGAGGTGAGCGAGCAGCCCTTTACTGCCACAGACAAAATGGGCAACAGAGTTAGTGTAGTATCAGAATGGCTTACCTGCCTCCTGTATAAGGTGGGGGGGGGCGGTTTAAAATAATTGGCAGTCCACTAATACCCGGCTTGATTTGAGCTGAGTCCTGATGAATTACATTAATAGATAATGTACAGCCCTGTCCCTGATTATCAGCTGAATCAATCTGACAACCCAGTATCTATGAATGAAGAGAGTTTAAACTACCTATGAGGAAAACCAAACACACACTGTGAATCTTCCTTCTAGGATTCTCTGAATTGTCCTGTTTTTACTTGTCATCACAGCTGTGCCATTTTTATGATTAGGTGACACCGTCTGTGAGTAGACACTAATTTCTGGAGATTCCCAGTGCTACTGTAAACTACCAACCAGAATAGGGGCTTATGGAGAGTCAGCTGATGCATAGTGTCTTGACCCAAGCAATACTGCCTCACTGAAGAAAAGCAGAGATTAGTGCCACAATCAAATATTTGAAAGATGTGGGCCGTTGATTCCTACCCCGTCCTCATTTTTCTTTCCAATATGGCTGGCGCTGAAGACAGATGAGTTCTAGAAGATGACAGGTGGTTACTTCAATTACAGCTGCTGCCTCAAATGTGATTTTCTTGCTGGAGCCCATCAACATGCCCTAACACCTGGTATGCAATTATTTATCTGAAAAATGATTTTTTCTTCTTCTTTTTTATTCCACTGAGCAGAAGATACGAGGACTTTAAAAAGGTATTATTGCAACTCCAAAATTTGACCCAAGATTCCATCAGCATGTGGTTTCACTATATTGATTACATTGTACTGATAGGAACTAGAAAGCATGTATCTTAAATGTGGTGATATGACATGTTCATGTCATTCACTCATTCATTTATTCAGAAGTGGCTCTTGAGTGCTTATTTTGTGTCATTCACCTTTCTAGGTGCTAAAAATATAGCAGTGAAAAAAAGAACCAGTTCCTCATGAGTTAACATCATAGAGGGGAGAGACTGATATTAAACACATAAGCATGTAAGTACATCACATAACAAATCCTGATGAATACTATGCAGAAAAATAAAATACAGTTGAGGAAAATAGGGGAAGTCAGAGGATGGGACATTGTAACTTAGTATGGGGGTTAGGTTGAACTATACCAATAGAGACTTGATGGAAGAGAGGGAGCACAACGTGAAAATATTTGGGAGAAGAAGTTTCCAAACATAGGGAAGAAGAAATGCAAAGACTGTAAGTCAGTATAGCAGAGGCACAGTGAGTGAGGTGGGGGTAGGGACAGAGGCAGCAGATCATAAAGGTCACTGTAGTCCATCCTTGAGTGAATTGAGAAATGGATGGATGATTTTGTGCAGAAGTGTGTGATGTAATCTAAATTATATTTTTAAAAGATCATTGAGGTTAACGTGTAATTAATACACTAGGTAGAAAAGAGGATATAGTTAGAAGACTAACATTGAGGTGATTAAAAAGAGACCTGATGGTGTCTTGAAACAGGTTGGTAGTAGTGGGAGAGAGTGAGAACTAATTACACTCTGGATGTGTTTTTAAAGTAGAGCTAGATAATTTTGTTAATGGATTGAATTTCTGGTATAAGAGAAAGAGAAGAATCAAAGTTTTCGATCTGAAGTTAGCCACAGCAGAAAATGGCTACCACTCTTTGCGCTAGAGGAACCACAAAATAAGTTAGAATGTCAAGAGTTAAAAATTGGAGCCATCACGGATATAGAGCCAAGATGGGATATCCCAATGGATTGGGGGGGGCGATGCAGCTGGAGAAGAGGCAAAGGAGAAGCACTTGCAGCTTGAGATCCCATAGGAAACAGAGTGAGGTGGTAGAGATAATCTGGCTTTTATTTTACTCCTGCCCTCCAAGCTTCTGCCAGTGCTTTCCACTGGCTGAAATGGTCTGGAAGTCAGAATGTAAGGAAACCGGGGAAGGCAGGGAATGAATCTCAGAGAGAGCAGACTGGGGAACAAGAGACCACAAGGCAGTTGGATGTGTGAATTTGAAATCCTAACCTCTAACATGATAGGTTTAGAAGATGGGGCCTCAGGGAGGTGCTTAGGTGATGAGGGTAGACACCCTCATGGATAAGATTAGTGCTCTTATAAAAGAGACCCCACAGGGCTCCTTACTTAGCCCCTTCAGCCCTGTGAGGACAGAGCAAAAAATCAGCAATCTGCAATCTGGTTGAGGGCTTTCACCAGAACCCCACCATGCTGGCACCCTGATCTTGGACTTCCCAGCCTTCATACTGTTAGAAATAAATGTCTATTGTTTATCAACCACCAAGTCTATGGCAGTTTGTTATAGCAGTCCAAATGGACTAAGACCATATGTAAACTGAATTTTTAAATTAAAAGTTGTTTTTAAAGCCATGGAACTCAATTAGATAACTTAGGGAGTGAGTGAAGAAAATGAAGAGAAGAGCTCTGAGAATAGAAATCTGGGCCCTCCAATATGAAGAGAATGCTCTATGTGGAGGAACCAGCAAAGGACTCTGAGAAGGAGTACACAAGGAGCTGGGGGAAGATCTGTAAGAGTCATGTCCTGGAAGCTATGTGTAGAATGTGTTTAAGGAAGATGGTGGCCATCGATGTCAAATGCTGCTCACAGGACAAACGAAATGAGACCTGAGAATTGAGTCAGTGGTTTTAACAATATACCTGTCACTGGTGATCTTAATAACAGAGCCAGGACTAGGGTAAGGCAAGTGAGGTACTTGCATTGGTGCCAAAAATCTCAGTATTTTAATGCAATTAAATGATATCTTAATGTGATGTTAAAAAAATACAAATTAATGCAAAAAAAAATCCAAAATCAACACAATATCAACAGTTTAAATATGGACAGAATTGGTAACAGTACTGTGCTAAGTCATATCAGAGTCTGAGGCAAAAGGAAACATCAATATTGAGCCCCCCCCTTTTTTTTGAGCCTGTCTTTATTTAAACATTTGATAAGTTCATTGTGACTTTTTGCATTAATTTAGATTTTTAAAATACCCGTGTGAAAATTATTTATCTTGATTAATTAATTTTTGCTGTCCCTTAAATTTTATATCCAATGTAAGGACCTCACTCACCTGAGCCTAGCCCTGTCCCTGCTTAATCAGAACCATTTCATTTGAGAGACAAGGGTGAACGTCTAACTGGAGACTGGGGAGGGAAGCTTTGGTGGGCTGAGGAGAGAGAAGAGTGAATGCATCACTCCTTCAGCCTGGGTCCAAGAATTGAAGAGCCACAGGGCAGATGTGCAGCCTGGAGCCAACCCATAGTGGACTTGCAACTTAATGTAACTTGGTGGAGAAATAATTGTTCCATAAGGTTCTGACGCTGGGAGTATTTACCGCAGCAGAGATGATAAATAAATGTTCTCAACCTTTAGTAATCAAAGTTTGAGATATCTCAGTAAGTGAAGAATCTTGATTAGCAGAGGTACTATTTTAAGGCAAAGGAATATATAGTGCCTAGTGGAGGAAAGAAATCATAAACCCCGGTTACAACCACATCTCTCACCAGTTTCAGAACTGAAGACTGAAGTCTGTGCCTATAGTTTCTTCTTCACTGTGTTGTGAATATTTTTAGTCAGTTGAATTAGTTTTCCATTTTTTTTTTTTTGGTTATGTTCTTTTCCTATTCTGTTTTTTTAAATTTTATTTAATTATGTTATATTAGTCACCATACATTACATCATTAGTTTTTGATGTAGTGTTCCATGATTCACTGTTTGCATATAACACCCAGTGCTCCATGCAATACGTGCTCTCCTTAATACCCATCACTGGGCTAACACATCCCCCCACCTCCCTCCCCTCTAAAACCCTCAGTTTGTTTCTTGGAGTCCGGAGTCTTTCATGGTTTGTCTCCCCCTCTGATTCCCCCCCTTCATTTTTCCCTTCCTTCTCCTAATGTCCTCCATACTATTCCTTATGTTCCACAAATAAGTGAAACCATATGATAATTGACTTTCTCTGCTTGACTTATTTCACTTAGCATAATCTCCTCCAGGTCCATCCATGTTGTTGCAAATAGTGGGTATTCATCCTTTCCTATGGCCAAGTAATATTCCATTGTATATATGAACCACATCTTCTTTATCCATTTGTCTGTTGAAGGGCATCTCAGCTCTTTCCACAGTTTGGCTATTGTGGACATTGCTGCTATGAACATTGGGGTGCAGATGGCCCTTCTTTTCACTACATCTGTGTTTGGGGTAAATACCCAGTAGTGCAATTGTTGGGTCATAGGGTAGCTCTATTTTTAATTTTTTGAGGAACTGTGGAGGTTCCTATTCTAATTAAAAAAAAAAACTTTATTTATTAGAGAAAGCATGTGAACACGCACGTGAGCAGGGGAGGGGCAGAGGGAGAGAATCTCAAGCAGACTCCCCACTAGTGGGGAGCCCCACACGGGGCTCAGTCCCAGGACCCTGATATCATGACCTGAGCCAAAAATCAAGAGTGGGTGCTTTACTGACTAAGCCACCCAGATGCCCCATTTCCTATTCTAATTTATAGGAAGTTAACCTGTAGTTACCTGTAGTGAAATTTACAGTTTAGCTCACTGGTTGTAAAACATCCAGTTAAAATAGTAAAAAAACATAGGGAGGGTAATTATAATCAAGATGAAGTAAGTTGAGTCTTTAGGAGGAGGGGAACCCTTTTGTGACTTGTCAGGAAAAGTTGTATTGTGTCATTAAAATTTTTGTTTTGGAATGATAAATATGAAAAGGAGTTTATAAATGGATCCTGGGTAATGAAAGTTGTGAACTCTAAAACCTTTGAAAGGCATGAGACAATGGTTAGGAGGCACTAGCTGCTTACTTTATGGAGAACTGAATGGGACACAGAATCCTCTTAACTGATCCCTAGAAGCTAGTGATGTGGCTTGGGTCCTAGGCTCATCCAAGTGGCTTCTCTGTTTTGGCTTTGAAATCTTTAGGGAGGGACATAGACTCATAGTTAAAGAGTTTTAAGGCTTCGGTGTTGAATATCCAACTCTGGTGGTTACTGTGGCATCAGATGACTTCTCATAAAACTGTACCCATGGTGAGACTTGGATGCATTCTTCCCTTGTTCTGAGTCTCATATTCCAGTTTTCTCTCAATTGTGTTAGTGACTGATGTACTTTTCAATTGGGTATTTGTTCATTTGCTATCCAAACTGGTTTCTTTTGTTTGTAGTCAAGAATGAAGACTGGCACACCCATACACCCAGATTCTGAAGAATAGGTAATAAATAATTTCAGCAAAGATTCATAAACTTAAAGCCAAAAGTAAAACAAGTCTAAAACAAGATATAAAGATGTTATAGAATGACTTCAGAAGTCAGTTTGTAAACCCTATTAAGACCACTCCCACTTATGGGGATCTAGTCTACAGAAATAAAATCACAGTAGTTAAGGGCATGTATATTTCAGGATTTTTTTTGACAGGACTGTTAATAACAAAACTGGAAAAAAATCAAACTACTCAAATAAGTGAACAGTTAAATTATGGTATACTCATTCTAGGAAGTAATATACAGCCACTGAAAATAGTAAATTAGGTTGATGTAAATTGTCTTTTAGGAAATATTTTTTTTAGAGATTAGAGAACTATATGTAAAATGATCCAATTTTTGTAACTATGTCAGTGTTCAAGGTAGAAGCAGAAAAAAAACCCCAAACAACCAACCTGGAATCCTATTTTAGGGAATTGGCTTTTAATAATCACCCACCAAAAGAAATAAATATTAGATTGATCCAGTACACATAGCTCATGCAAACACAATCATACTCTTACTATATGCAAAGTAGGTTGATTTCTTTATTCTTCCTATTCTATCCTATTTTATTTTTAAAAATTCTGATTATGACCAACTAATTGACTTCATGGTCTGCTGACTGGTTAATATTCATGATTTGAAAAACACCATTTTTCACATGTGTACCTCATCTTGTCTACCTGTTACTCTCTGCCATCACTTTCTTGTTTTCTTCAGGTGATATCAAGAATTGATTCCTCCTGTAGC